TGCGTTCCCCACACCCACGCGGTAGACAATTAGAAAAGGAATGGGATAGATGTCATTGGAGATAGGTAGAAGAGGTAGGTAGAGGTGGCATGAGGTATAGGAGTAGTGGGGGGAGGTTTGGTACAGTCGATTTGTGACCTAGAGTGGGGGTTAGCTTTTTAGTTACTCAGTTGGCTGCATTTTGTTGGTTTGTGTGGCTTTATTGGGCCTTGAAGGCACTTTTTATTTCGCTGCTCAGAGAGGAGACTGCAGGACAGAGGTCCTTGGGACCGGATCTGTTCCTAGTTAAGGACTTTCCCTCTGAAGCGTAAGCTAAGCTGGCTGAGGCTGTCAGTAAATTTCCGGGTTGAATTGTGGGGATCCCCGGCCCCGAGTTGAATTGCGGATCTGCTTGTTTGTCCATTCTTTCTGGCATGATGTGATTTCATGAAACTGGCCCAAACTTCACAGAACGCGTGTCGCCGCCTTCCCCCATCAGATCCCCTCGCATGGGACGGTTGACGCCAGTCGCTCTGCCCCCACAACTACACTACACGTCTGCAGGTGTGACCCAGCCCTGAGGTGCTCTTGTCATCCCCGTGGTGGGTGTGATGGTGTTCTACCCCATTCCCCTTGTCCTTCCCTCTAACCTGAAGCCCTGCAATTGGAGCAAGAAAGGCAATTATAATATAAATACGTTGAAAGTGGTTTAAGTGGGTCTTTTCTTTTGTGTTTTTTTTGGATATAGCCCTTTCCGTAAGCCCTCTATTCAGGCGGTGGTAAGAGAACCCGAATTGAGGGCTGATTTGTTGGGCTGCTCCATCTGTTGGTGGGGAGCCTCACCTGCTGGAAACGGGGCCCAGCGTCCCATTGATACATCTTTTAGCACAGAGAATGTCCCATTAATGCATCTTATAACTCAGAGTGCCTTGTTTATTGTTTCCTAGGGCTATGACCATTTATGTCGCATCCTGGTGTGGAGCAAGAAAGGCAATTATAATATAAATAGGTTGAAAATAGTGGGTCTCTGATTTGAAAATAGTGGGTCTGTGATTTGCAATTGATGGAAAGACTGCAGAAGGGGGTGGAGGCCGCCTTAGTTTGGGGTGCAGGGGAGGGGCAGATACAGGCGACTCTCGACAGGCTGCGTTCAGTCCACGACGGCACAATGGCGCGGTCGTATTTCTTCCACGTGGTAGTCGCCTAGCGCTGTCGCAGGAATGATGTCCAGCAGCCGGCCGAGTTGGCAGGTATCTGGTCGCAGGTGCTGTCCACATAGGAGTCGAGAAGTCCTATCCTAGGGTGAATACCCCCCGAGCTGAGCTCCTCGTGGGCGCTGATGCGGGTGATGGCGGTGATGGGGACATTCGGTTGATCTACGAAAGTTTTTTTTTTTTTTAATTTTTTTTTTTTTTTTTTTTTTTAAATCTACGAAAGTTTGTCTCACCTCGTTTCCCCCAAACACAGTCCACGGTCACGCGAACACAAGACATGGTCATTACATTTGTATTTAGTGCGATTTTCCGCTCAGATACAGGTACAGTAATCGTCTGGCATTTTGTTAATAGGAAGTAACGTAGTTTCGAGAGTGGTGTGGCTATGCCTATTCTTTTTTTTTTTTTTTTTTTTTTTGGAATAATGCCCATTCTGTTAGAACAGAAAAAAAAAAGAAAAAAAAAGTAGGCGCTCATTTCGAAAGCTACGAACTTTGGGCCTCCCTCGCTCCACTACTCACCACATGCACAAAAGACTGAAATATGCCGGTGCATATTTCCATATTCTAGGGAAAGGTTCATTCTCATTTCGCACATTTGGTGGTGAGGTCCTTTGTAGCTAGCTACTGGCAAAAGATGGTAAAGCGTGAACGCACCGATCAACGTCGACCGCGTGGCGGGAGCATCTGGCCATGTTCTAGCGGGAAATTCGTTCTCATTTTGCACATTTCGATAGTGGTGTGGCCATGCCCTGACGAGCACTTCTGGAAAGTGCCGAGTACGAGGACGGCTCAGCGCGACTGCCATTACGGCGGGTCCATGTGACTCCAAGGGCCTATGGTAGTTCCACTACTCGCCATCCGCCAATTGTTTGAATGCACATGGAGAGAGGAGCTGTCCAGATGCGTTCGAAATTTTGGCGGATGGCGAGTAGTGCAACTCCGGTAGGCCCTTGGAGGCAGGTTTGTCTGGACGAGAACAAGGCAGTCGGCGCGCAGTGATTCTTGCGTTACCGGTACGGAGGAGCCAAGGGAGAGAGAAGTAGAAAGAGAGGAGAGAGAAAGGGTAAGAAAGATACTGGACAACGAACTGTACAGGGGCTGTGCAACATCGCACTGGGAGTAACGCACAGGTCCGCCACATAGAGGGCTCGAGCAAGGGAGGAGGAGAAGAGGGAGAGAGAGGAAGAGGGAGGAGGAGGAGGAGGAGAAGAGGGAGAGAGAGGAAGAGGGAGGAGGAGGAGGAGGAGGAGAATCGTCTGGCTGCCTGCAGCAAGGACAACCGAGAGGAGGGTGGAGGTGTAGAGACGTGCGAGGTTGAACGGGTGGTCACGTGGTTGGTTGGAGGACGAGAGAAATTTGTAAGTAGGGATCTGAGACGAGGCGGATCAATGAAAGCCGCGAAGAGTTTAAGTACGTGTGGATTGAGTGGATGATTGAGCGCTTCGGTGAGGTAAACACGGGGAGTCGGGATGGGATCAGATGATGACGATTACACAAGGTGAGGAGGAGACAAGTGCAAGAGCTGGAACTGGAAAGAGGAGAGGAGGGGGAGGGAAGGCGAGGAGAAGAGGTATACCGGGACTGCGAGAAAGAGAAACGACAGTGAGCAGAGGTGGAAGCAGCTCTTGCACTTATGAAAGTGACCAAGGGATCAAAATCGGACGGCACACAGACGACGGTAGGATGATCCTCTGTTCCTCGTGAAGCAAACGTTTGGAGGATCCTCTGTTCCTCGTGTAGCAAAAAAACGTGCCCTGGTCACGACTGGCGCTCCTCGAAGAGACCGGAAGAGGGGCAGAGGGGGTGCAAGCGTGAGGCATGTTAGACCGGAGGTACCAAAACTCCGTGGCGAGTCATTTGCCGTGGGTGATAGCTGGGGGACTGGAGTAAGGGGCGGGGGGGGGAGAGAGAGAGAGAGAGAGAGAGAGAGAGAGAGAGAGAGAGAGAGAGAGAGAGAGAGAGAGAGAGAGAGCCCAACCTAACTAACTACCCTGGTCCCCAAAACGACGACCACGACGACGACGATCAACTGTCCCCCAAAATGACGATGACGATGAGGATCAAGTGTAGTATCTGTTGCGATCCGTTTGAAAATCGGCGTGCGCACGTGCGTGCACATGTGAAGCATCGCCCCCCTTCTCCTCTGCCATCACCATCATAATCGGCGTGGACCATCGGGAGATCTTTATTAACGAAAAAAAAAAAAAACATGGAAAAACAGCGCGCAGCAGAGAGAGAGAGAGAGAGAGAGAGAGAGAGAGAGAGAGAGAGAGAACCCACAAACTAACTAACTATCCCGCCCCTCCAAACGACGACGACGATGACGATGAAGTGTAGTATCTGTTTCGATCAGTGTGATATCTGACCGGTGGACAATGACCCGTGGACAATCGGGAGTTCTTAAAAAAAAAAAAAAAAAAAAAAAAACCACGGGAAAACGACGCGCACGCCACAGAGAGAGAGAGAGAGAGAGAGAGAGACACACCCCAACCTAACTAACTAACCTGTTGCATACCGTATAGGTGCAGACCAGAACAAGAACCGACCTTTCAATACAAGTATAAGATAGCACAGCGGAAGACTTAGATACTAGTGATCCGAACAATCAATGTTGTAATGCAGCCCTGAACATACATCATCATCATCGTTTCWTAGTGTGAATGGGTCTGSCGCTTCACACAGGAAGACAGCGCCAGCCCAGAACATGCACAGACGCGGAGGAAGGGGATAGACGAAGAGGAGGGGGAAGATGGGAATGTCGTCAACACCAAGTCTTCGGCATAAGCCCAAATAGTCCCTCGTCGAACTGTCTGAATCCCAAATGTCCAGTCTGGATCCAATGTCGTCAAGTCTCAAGTCACAACTCTGTCTCTCTCTGTCATAGTCTGAGAAGTCAGGTGGCGAGAGGGTGAGAAGAGAAGGNCTCTCTCTCTCTCTCTCTCTCTCTCTCTCTCTCTCTCTCTCTCTCTCCAGCTACCTGTGTATCTGTCGACGTAACTGCCAAATCTATCTATCTATTTGTCTACCTGTTTGCCAAATCTATCTATCTATCTATGTATCTATCTATCTATATCTATCTATCTATCTATCTATCTAGCTAGCTAGCTAGCTAGCTATCGATTATGTATCTATCGGCCAGATACTTCTTTCTTAGCCGTTGTAAATAAGGTCAATAATCCATCAGTGATTCGTTCGTCGACTCGTATATTATTCATTTATCCTCCTCTCCGATTGGTCAATCTACGGCTGTCGTTGCACACTGCGCGCCTGACGATGCAATACGACTCGCACTGATCGCCACGTGTCGAACTGGGTGCGTGTCCAAGTTGATTGATCCGTCGGAAGATACACGACTCTCCACCGCGGCAACCTCTGATCCGGTTGTCCAGCTGGAAGAAATCGTACTATGAATAATATCTTATTCTAATTTGATTGTTTGATTGTGTCGAATAATTAACTTGATTGTTTATTTTCTCATTTTTGTAGAAGATCCTCAATACCCTCGCTCTTCTGACCTCATTCTGCCTGATCTTCTCCCTCCCTTCCCTGGGTCGTCGTCTCCTGCCTCCTTCCTGCTCCTGCGTGCTTGATTGGGGGGGGAGAGAGAGAGACACAGAGAGAGAGAGAGAGAGAGAGAGAGAGAGAGAGAGAGAGAGAGAGAGAGAGAGAGAGAGAGGTAGGTGAGTTTCTCAGGCAGAATGGCGTCGACTTTGAGGGCTGTCACAGCGGCCGCGGCGGCGGTGCCGCTCGTTGGACGTAGTCGCTCTGTTTCTGTTTGTGCGACAGAAGCGGTTTCCAGCGCATCCTCGCGCAGCAGCGGCGGCGCAGCGAGCTCCTGTAGCGGCAGCAGTGTCGCACGCGTGAGCGGCGATCGGCTCCTCGAGGTCGGTTCCCAGGGGGGCTGCGGAAGGCGGCGCTGTGGTCGGCGGGTCGTTCAAATCGTTGCAGTTGTGGGACGGGGAGACGTGTCGACGTCGCACTGGTTGGGATCCCGGCGAGTAACCGATTGCGCGGTGATAGGCCACGAACGGACATCCGACGTCTTCCTGACGGGATCAAGACGGTGTCACACGCAACGGTATCGGGCGATGGACCGCGGGCGGCGCGGAGGCGGGGTACTGGGGGGGGAAGCGGTGCGCCGGCGCGGGCGCATGACAACGGGAGCTGTCGCAGCGCCGCCGGACCGGAAGCAGTCCATCGCCGCAGAGAAGCGCAATCCGCGTCAGGCAATGCAGGTGGAGATGACGACGAGACCAGGGGGGGGAGGGGGGGGAGGTGGAGGAGGGAACGGAGCCGCAGTAAGGCCTGCAGAGGAGCTCATTGACATCGAGATTTTGAAGCGCGAGTGTGTCGCGTCCTCTACGGCCGATGCAAGTGATTGGTCCAGTGGATGGCCTGGGGGGGAGGTGGCGCTCAAGGGCTGGGTTGATATGTTGGACCTGAATAATCCAGATTCGGGCGACATTCTGTTGGAGTACGATCCAATGCGACTTGCTGAAGTTATGGCAGAGAGACCAGCTCAGACCACTACCAGAGCTCTGACAATCATGACCCAATTGATCAGCTTTGCCAGCCGTCTGCTTGTTGACAAGCAGACAGGCAACCTGGAGCGCAATACGAAACGACGAGCCCGGGAACTACGACAGATGCTGACATCTCTCGGTCCATCCTTTGTTAAGGTGGGGCAATCTCTCTCGGCGCGGCCGGATATCTGTCCACCAGCCTATCTTGAGCAGTTCGCCTTGCTTCAGGATCGTCTGCCCAGTTTCCCCACGCCGATTGCGCTTGCGTTGATAGAAGAGGAACTCAAAGTGAAGGTGGAAGATATCTTCTCAGAGATCTCTCCGGAACCCGTTGCTGCCGCCAGTCTTGGTCAGGTTTATAAAGGTCGCCTTCGATCAAATGGGGCCTTAGTGGCAATCAAGGTCCAACGTCCTGGGATTGGTGAGAGCATAGCGATGGACATGTTCCTTGTCAGAAAAGCAGCAGCTTGGATCGATGCCAACCTGGACTTAGTCACCACATCAGTCGTTCCGCTTGTCGACGAATTTGCAAGGAGATTGTTTGGGGAATTGGACTACATACAGGAAGGCCATCATGCAGAGAAGTTCGACAAACTGTATGGAATGCTCCCCAGGGTGCGAATCCCCAAGGTATACTGGGATTATACCATGCGAAGGGTCCTGGTCATGGAGTGGATTGACGGGGTGAAATTGACCGATGAGCAAGGTTTAATGAACTATGGTCTGGACGTGACCGACTTCGTGGATGTGGGAGTCGACTGCACGCTGCGGCAGTTGTTGGAACATGGGTATTTTCACGCCGACCCTCATCCAGGTAACTTGCTGGCCACTGCCGAAGGTGATCTTGTGTACTTAGACTTTGGCATGATGAGTGAGGCGCCGCAGTCGGCTAGATACGCAATCATCGAACATGTTGTGCACTTGGTCAATCGAGACTATGAAGCTATGGCAAAAGATTACTACAAGCTTGATTTCCTTGAGCCTACAGTTGACACATCACCCATAGTGCCTGCATTGGCTGGGTTTTTCGACACTGTTTTGGACAAGAGTGTCGCCGAGCTCAACTTTAAGTCCATTATTGATGGCCTTGGCGCCGTGTTGTACCAATTCCCATTCAATGTGCCAGCTTATTACGCCCTGATTCTAAGATCACTGAGCGTGCTTGAGGGCATGGCAATGTATTCTGACCCCCACTACAAGCTTCTGGCAAAGGCCTACCCTTACATGGCAAAACGACTGCTCACCGATGCTTCGCCAGAGCTCCGGTCGGCTCTGGAGGACCTCTTGCTGAAAGATGGGACTTTTCGATGGAACCGCCTTGAGAATCTGATGGTAGAGGGAAGGAAACAGAGAGACTTTGATGATTCCCAGCTATGGCTTCTCCTGCAGTGGCTCGTCTCTGATCAGGCGGAATCCGTTCGCCAGTCGCTTTCAAAAGAGCTTGTCAGGATGATTGATGCTGTTGGAGTGACCACAGCTCGCACCGTGGGAGCATCTGTCGTTGGGAGGATGGGGATGTCTGAAGAGGACGCATCGTCTTTGTTCGAACGCCTCTTCCCGATCCGACCCAATGATGCTGAAGCCTACGACAGGGCAACCAAGCTCGGGACCGCTCTTATCAGCAGGAACCTCCCGGCAAATATCACCAACCCCGCAGAACTTCTCGCAGGGCGCAATACCGTCGAGCTGGCCCGAGATGTGATCGTCAGGGTCCCAGAAGTGGTGTCCACAGTCCGGCAGCAGCTCGATAAAGCCGTGCCAGAAATTCAGAAATTGGCAGAGGCACCGGGGACTGGCCAAATCATTGTTGACGTCAGCAGAGGAGTTTTGACAAGGATGGCGGCTAGGCTTGTGCGCGCAGCTTTTCTTCAAGAGGAACAGAGTGTCCGTGCATGACTTTGACTTGCAGGCAAGCATCCTAACAAAGAACAAGATGGGGGAAGTATGATTCTGTATGAATAGACAAAAAAAACACCAAAGGTAGACTCAATTTGATAATAGGCATCTGTGAATATATATAGAAGTTTGTTGTAAGAAAAAGTTCCATGAACTACGTAGTATAGTCGAATGTATTATTTGATTGAAGTGCATATGCCATCATGTTTCCTCGATCTCTGTCCTTTCTTTCCTTTTGCCTACCCCACCTTTCTGCCTCTCTGTTTGTCTGTCTGTCTGTCTGTCTATCTATAGGTTTCACTCTCTTGTTGATTCACCGACAGAACTGGTGCTCCACACCCACTCACTCCAACACCCCCTAACTCCCCTCCATCGTCTCCCCCCCCCCCCTTGGCCCTCTCTCTCTCTCTCTCTCTCTCTCTCTCTCTCTCTCTCTCTCTCTCTCTCTCTCTCTCTCTCTCTCTCTCTCTCTCTCTCTCTCTCTCTCTCTCTCTCTCTCTCTCTCTCTCTCTCTCCAAGCTGGCGCCTTGTGCTAAGTTAGTGTGTACCTGACCCGTTTCATGGCTGTACTTACGCTTGCTGAGCATGGACATAGTACCAACACGCCCCCTGACCCTAACACCCGTCTCCCCACCAAGGCAGGCACGTGCGTGTTGGAGTTTGTCTGGACTTACCAAACATGGGGGGCATGGTAATAGGGAAAGAAAGTGACAGGAGGCCTAAAACTCTCTAAGAGTCTAAACAAACACTCCCTTTCGTAAAAGTGATTTCGAGCAGATGTAGCTCACCACCAATGAGATAAGAGCCATCCCATCTACTGGCTGGGCCTCAAGTCTGGTGGTCCTCTCACCATCACTGGGATAGGGGCCCAGCCCCTCAGGTGTTCCAAAAAAAGAGAAAAAAGAAAAGAGGAATAGAAAATAATGTAGCCTAGGGTATGTATATGCACTCTTTCCATCCTTTTTCCCCTTTGTTTGTTTGTTTGTTTGTTTGTTTGTTTGTTTGTTTGTTTATTTGTTTGTTTGTTTATCAAAGCGGGGTGACAAGTTTGTGTTACATGAATGATTGTGCCCCTCAAGTGGCTGAAAGCTTGTCAACCTGTAGAATAGGACAATAGGAGAGTCAGAAAGACAATGGGTATAGCGTCTACGGACTCTAATCTTCTAAAGAGATGGAACATGGCATGCAACATCCCTTCCCTGCCCCCATGAAGCGATCTCCCCTCCAGAAAAGAGGGTACATCGACGGAATAAGCAGGCTGCATTTCGGACCAAGAACCCCTTTACCCCCCTAGATGTGACACCATTCTATTCACTGTTTGCCTGCACAGTCATCGAAGGCTATGGTGATGTTTAGGGTTTAGGGTAACTCAGCTTGGCCAGTTAGGTGGGGTTTGCAAATCTGGGAGGATGTGGAACAGGGGTGACAGGATCAGGGGACTGTGGTAAGAGAATAAGGGGGCGGTAGTATCCAGGAAGGGACGTTGAGGATCCATCTAATCCTGTTTGCTCCCCATGCTTTCGCACCTCAGCGTCAGTAGAGACCCAGAAAGCTGCCTTCGCTTTTGGTGTTCCTTCTAATATCTGTGAATTTTATCTCTACACTAGAAATTCCAATTTCCTCTATCTTACTCCAGTGAACCGGTTTTGAAGGCATTCCACCAGTTGAGCTGGCGACTTTCACCGCTTCGCGCCTAATTCACTGCCTACGTGCCCTTTATGCCTAGTCATTCCGAAAGATGGGGGAAGAGCTGTCTGTGGAACGAAGAAATGGGAGCTGGTTTTATATTGCCAAGACTGTTCATTCTGTCTTCAGTTCTTCCATACTGGGTGGAGTGGTGGAGGCAAATTGACTTACTGTGAGGGCAGGGTTGCGCAGCCCGTAGTTTGTTTGTTGATGTGGTTGGGGAAGGGTAAGGTAGTGATTATGTTGTGTTTATGTTTTGTCATGTTTGCTACGAGGTGGTGATGCTCTTACCACTCCACCTGGTAGCCTGAGGCTGTTTTAAAAAAAAAAAAAAAAAAAAAAAAAACACTATGTACCATCACGACGCCTTAAACCACCAGTACTTGGCCCAGCTATTGATGCCGAGCCGGGAAACGCCCTGCCCGCCAAGTTTTGCCGAACGGACGGCTCGGCGTTTTGTTTGATTTTGGCTGCCACCTCCAGCCATTGTGGTCTGGTACCCGGAAGCCCATAGGTGGCAGTGCGTTAACGGGAAACGCCCGCGGCCGATGTATGGGCCAAGTACTGGTGGCTTAACAACCAGGGGCCCAGATGAAGACAATTGAGGATCGCTCAGAAGGCTCAACCAACCCACTGGGACTGGTATCCAATAAGAATCTTCCCTATGGACCACCCTATCAAGCCATGCCTCCGAGTTGCCAACTTTTCGGTACTATTTTCTGCTGTTTTGTCCGAGGAGCTATCCCTCATCTTTCTCTAGGTCTTTTATTTTCTGTCTCATTGCCCTATATGCTGCCTGAATTATTGTGTGCAGATGGTTGGAGATATGACTCCTTGCCTGCTGGAATCTGAAAGACTTAGTGTGTTGTTTTTGTTCCAACGAACACCTTGCCTGCCATGCAAACATCAAGATCTCCCCTCTTGTAACAGCAAGCAGCCTCCTTTCATTTGGACCCCTGTCTGCTGGTATGCCTTCAGGTGTTCCCAGAAGGACAAGCTGATTGACCTATTGGTTAAGTGATCCACCTCTTTGATGGCAGGTCATAGGTTCGATTCCTAGTGAGTTGATCTTGGACATCTTGTATGTTAGCAAGTACCCAGACGGAAGAGCTAAGGTTTGTGATCTTTTACCAAGCCTTGGCCCACCATCTCCGTGTTTGGGAAACTTCCCCCCCCCCCCCCCCGAAACGCCCCCTACAGTGTTAGTGGTGCTGATAAGAGCAGACACCACTACGAGGCAGGCCAACAGAATTTAGCTGTAGAATTCTCAAATTGTATCCAAAACAACAGAGAGTATAAAAAAGTGATCAAAGAGGTGCCTGTTCATGGCTGGCTCTTGCTGGCAGGGAGTAGTTACTGTTACACTAGTACTGGCGGTGTTGTACCGTCGGTGCCTATAGGAGCAGGTTCGGCCTCTAAGTAAGAAGTGGTGTGAAGCATATTTAAGACAACGCAATGTTCTCTTTTGAGGTGTAGTGTAGGGTGAGGGCGGGAATCCATTGGTCTCTTCCCCCTCCCGATCTGACCACGCCACCAAAGAGCATCGGACTCGTTGGTCGAACTAGCATGGACATGTGACCACTGATGAGAAGATCCGCACTGTTCGGAAGAGATCGGAGGAAAGCTGGGCACTCCAGAAAGAGGACTCGTGTTGTCGGGCTGAGTCGCTCCATCCTCTTCGCATCTTGATGAACGGGGTGCTATTACTCCGTTGTATCTTCCTGAATCAGCCGCGAACCTCCTATCTTGACGTGAAACAGTGCGGATCTAGTGCTAGACTGTGCAAGCTCTGGGGACCGTTGCAATCCATCCCGTACGATACTGGTGCTGGGAAAACCTTTAAACTGGGGCCATCTCGCTGGTGAGATGTTTCACAACTGCCATTCCTGGTGCATTCATATTCAGTGCGATAAAACAATTTGTGATATCTACGCCAAGCAAGTCGAGCAGACGAACCTCTGTTCCCTCGTATCGCCATCATTCGTAGCAACCCAAATCCTATCTTCCATCTGATTCCTGCTGCTTGGCTGCAATTCAAATTTAACATCCATCGCCTCTGGGTTTCTCACATTCTAGCTTGGCAAAAATTCCTTGATGATTTCGCAAAAGTTCTTTTTTTTTTTTTTTTTTTTTCATGAGAAAAGGCCCAGTGCCCAAGGCTCCAATTATGAAATTGATTACAACACTTGTACTACACACGCCTCTTCCCATCAGGGCTGGAAGAGCCTCAGCCACTGCTCCCCAGGAGACAGTTTCCCTGTATAACACGAATATAGCATGAGCACGGGCCATTGATTGCTTCCCCAGTGAGGAAGGATCAACCCCATTTTGTGCAGAATCAAAATCTGCCCTACACTCCTCAATTACCCCTACTTTAATCTTCTGCACAGTGAGGAGTGGGGGGGATACCATTAGGGCAAAGAGAATGACAACAGGGCAAAAGATTTTAGTAATTCATCAAAAATTAGGTCGGGCTTTCCCTAAGCAACGGTAGTTAAATCAGACGCAAACCGAATAGGAGCACACTAATTGGAACAAAAAAATATTCTATACCTACGGATCATTAAACCAAGTCAAACTATAGATGATGATGACCAAGGTGTAACAGTACTCATGGCACCCCACTGCTACCTAATCTGAATAGTTCTACAAATTGCAGATCTCACATAAACAAAGAAACCTAAAGTTACTTCCAGCGCCATGGCCCAAAATGTGCTTTAGATCTCTACTACCCTACAATTCTTTCACTCCATCCTTGTCGTCTAAGCTTTGAAGCTCAACTTGTAAGGCCCTCCTCCCAACTTTGCTCCATACCACACAGACACAGACACACACACAGAGAGAGAGAGAGAGAGAGAGAGAGAGAGAGAGAGAGAGAGAGAGAGAGAGAGAAAGAGAGAGAGAGAGAGAGGCTGAATGGCAAAAATTGAATATGGGTCAAATTGCAGCCACAATCAATTTTGTAGTTGGAAAGATTACAACAAAATCTACGGGCAATCCAATTTTCAGATCTTTTTCTCGCATAAAAAATCACTGAAGTTGTAGTACTTTTTTCGTCGGCCCACATATGGCTGAGTGGCAAAAATGGAAAATGTGCGACTATTATTTTGAGGTCTTTGTGATTTTTTGAAAACTTTCTGGTATTTTTCCTGGAAAGACCACGACCTAATCTATGGATTCTCAAATTTTCAGATTTTTCTGCGAATTTCTCCGAGCACAGAAAATCGCCAAAGTTGTCTCTTGCAGATTGTGGGAGCCTTGGACAGCCTGCACGTGGGACTCCCGACAACGCCTCCCCTTCTTTCTTCTTTTTGGGTCCGCTTCCAACTGACAACCAGTCGTTCCTTTTTTCCAAAAGTCCCGGTTCTACAAGAGCTAGCTGTAGGTCGTCCGCAATATCACCAAGGACCGATCCCCCAAAAACTTTGCCACCTAAGAACCCACTTGTGTCCTCGCCGTCCGCCAACAAAATGCGACACCTTGACATGGATTCTGAAGCCCACTATACCGCAGCCTTAGGGC